ATAAAGTCAGAATTGCGAGATATAAAGTCAGAATTGCGAGATATAAAGTCAGAATTGCGAGATATAAAGTCAGAATTGCGAGATATAAAGTCAGAATTGCGAGATATAAAGTCAGAATTGCGAGATATAAAGTCAGAATTGCGAGATATAAAGTCAGAATTGCGAGATATAAAGTCAGAATTGCGAGATATAAAGTCAGAATTGCGAGATATAAAGTCAGAATTGCGAGATATAAAGTCAGAATTGCGAGATATAAAGTCAGAATTGCGAGATATAAAGTCAGAATTGCGAGATATAAAGTCAGAATTGCGAGATATAAAGTCAGAATTGCGAGATATAAAGTCAGAATTGCGAGATATAAAGTCAGAATTGCGAGATATAAAGTCAGAATTGCGAGATATAAAGTCAGAATTGCGAGATATAAAGTCAGAATTGCGAGATATAAAGTCAGAATTGCGAGATATAAAGTCAAAATTGCGAGATATAAAGTCAGAATTGCGAGATATAAAGTCAGAATTGCGAGATATAAAGTCAGAATTGCGAGATATAAAGTCAGAATTGCGAGAAATAATGTCACAATTGCGAGAAATAAAGTCAGAATTGCGAGAAATAAACACAATTGCAAGAAATAATGTCACAATTGCGAGATATAAAGTCACAACTGCGAGAAATAAAGTCAGAATTGCGAGAAATAAAGTCAGAATTGCGAGATATAAAGTCAGAATTGCGAGATATAAAGTCAGAATTGCGAGAAATAATGTCACAATTGCGAGATATAAAGTCACAACTGCAAGAAATAAAGTCACAATTGTGAGAAATAAAGTCAGAATTGCGAGAAATAAACACAATTGCAAGAAATAGCCACAATTGCGAGATATAAAGTCACAACTGCGAGAAATAAAGTCAGAATTGCGAGAAATAAAGTTTCCACCGGAAGACCGTTTCCACCACTGAATAAAAAATTAAAAAAGGTAATTGCGACTTTTTCTTACAATTCTTTGTTCTTGCAATTGCATCATATATACTCGTAATTCTTTTTTTCTCAGAATTGTGATATAAACGGTCCTTTTCTTCATACTTGTCTTCATCCTCATCACCTGCACACAAATTTGCATGCTTCCGCGGCACATCAGGGTTAAAAACTGATTTCAGTGTACTCTATGTGTACTCAAGTCTCAATTGCATTCAAATCTCATACTGGCCACATTTAAAACAATAATGGGAACAGCCATACAAAAAAAAAAAATCTGAGCAATAAATCAGAACTGAGCACCAATGTAGCATGGTGAATGTAGCCTATGAGACCTGTAATGATTTTTATCTCGTCTGCAGATGTGAAGCTCCTGGAGAACCAGCAGTATGTGGAGAGCGTTCAGGAGCAGGTGAACAGCGCTCTGCTCGAGTACACGCTCTACTCTTACCCTCAGTGTCTGGACCGCTTCAGTCAGCTCATACTGCGGCTGCCTGAGGTCCAGTCGCTCAGCGCGCAGGCCGAGGACTTCCTGTGCTACAAGCACCTGTGCGGAGAAGTGCCGTGCAACAATCTGCTCATAGAAATGCTTCATGCCAAGAGGTCCACCGCCGTGTGAAAGGGACACTGCTTTGAGAGTTTAAGCCATATGCGCAAAATGGATGGTGAACAGTTTTCCAAAGGCAATGCTTTCTTACCTTATGTGATGAATGTACAGAATTTGTTCATTTGTATTGTTTTTAAATCATTTGAGCATGACAATCAGTGGTGGACGCGGAGGTGTTTTTATAGTGTTTTCTTCTTCGTGCCGTTATTCTCTTGGCTAAGCGTGATCTCTGCAGTCTTTAAGAGCGATGTTTCATTTGAACGCTTATTTATGTATCTCCATTATTTTATCTTAATGCTCCTGTGCTTTTGAATGGATGATGAGTATTGTAATTTCTTTGTTTTTCAAATGCATTTATTAAGTTGGTATTTAAAAAACATTCCAAAAGGGCCTGTCCAAAAATGAATCGAATGAAACAAAAAAAGGTATTTATTGAAATAATGTAATTAACCAGTATCAGTTCAACTATTTAAAGCACATTTTACATAGATTACACATTTATTTGTCTTTCCATTTCACTGAAAAAAACTGGTTGCAATAAAATAAAACAAACGACACGTTGCAGTTGTTTGAAGTTGTGTGTGTGGCGGCCTAAAAGCAATCTTACTTTGAATGGCCATGTTTCTAAAGACAGACATGCTGCTCCGCTCTGAGTGTCTCTTAAGTGTGCCAATAAAAAGAGGTTATGGGAAGGTCAGAAAACATTCACACATGTTGCCACCTTTGTGAGCGTATAAACAGAGTGCGCTTCTTTTGAAATCCATTTGAACCAATTATTTTTCTATTCATTTTTATTCTAATCAAGTGTATCATTTGAAAACAATCAGTAATCATGAATGACTACAGAGATACACACTTTCCACATCAATACAAACAAATTAGTTTTAATAGTGGGAGTAAAATGTAATACATAATGCATTTTATATGCATTGTATCAAAATAGGGAATGCCTATTACAATAAAATACTTATTTACATTTTTGCGTTATTTCAATTGGGTAGTAGAATTACAGCACGAATAAATCAAAAACAAACCATTAAAAATAAATGCTGTCATGATAAGATAATCTTCACAAGCTTGCTATTTTGAGCACTAGACTTTTTTTTTTATAAAACAATTAAATAAAATGTGTTATTGAAATGATATATAGATCTCTACAGAAAGATCAAACAGCTGATAGGTTTCATTGTCCACAGTTTTCTTCTTCTGCAAAATACTGAATGTAAATCTCCACGGATGGGCTGCTCGTTCCCAACCGAAGTCGAAAATCACTAACAACTCATTCTGTTGTCTGGTCACGATTAATGGTGTGATGATGCTCATGTTGTCCATTTTTAGTACTGTGAGCCTCTGTACTCTGACAACATCTATACATTATTAAATGATGACCATATACACAACGCTGAGAATTCTTTACGCTCCGGGCTGAGGGCCGTCTCATTGAACATTTGTTGAAAGAGTGGTTTCATGGTTATCAGAAAACCTTTACTCACTCAACACAGACTGAGCTCTGGGAATGAGACGGCCTGCAGGATTGCGGAGGAGGCAGTGATCGCTCCTCCACAGAATGGGCTACGTCTTCATCCCAGGATAAGTCACGAGTCCATGCAGAACTGTAGTGTGTAGTTTTCCTCTCAACAGCCTGTGGTGAAGCAAAACGGCAGGATTTAAAAATACTTCATACTGTGATTCTATTTTGACCAGCTCAGATTTCGATGGATTAAAATAGTGTAATTTGTTGATAAGTGCATCGGTCCTGTGCTAGTGAAGAACTAGTGCGCCCCCTAGAGATTCAGTGTGGACACAGCAACAGGTTCATGTGAAACAGTTCTTTACCTGAGGGCTTAAAGGCTGTCAGCTGAACCACCTGAAACACAAGATTATGCTGTAAAATCAAGCCAAGTCAATTTGATTTGTATAGCGCTTTTCACAATACACACCGTTTATAACAATAATTATATTGGGGAAGTTGTGGCCTAATGGTTAGAGAGTCGGATTCGTAACCCAAAGGTTGTGGGTTCGAGTCTCGTACCAGCAGGGATTGTAGGTGGGGGGAGTGAATGTACAGCGCTCTCTCCCACCTTCAATACCACGACTGAGGTGCCCTTGAGTAAAGCACTGAACCCTCAACTGCTCCCCGGGCGCCGCAGCAAAAAATGGCTGCCCACTGTTCACGGTGTGTGTGTGTGTTCACTGCTGTGTGTGTGCACTTTGGATGGGATAAATGCAGAGCACTAATTCCGAGTATAGGTCACCATACTTGGTCACATGTCACGTCACTTATTGTGACAAGCCTAATTACTCACTTAACCGTGCCAATAATACACATAATCAAATAGTATGATATTAGTGAAAAATATGTGTGGTTTGCTGCATACCTGACTTCTGTTGGCTGGTTTCAATGGGAAATTCACAATATGGTCCTCTTTAAACCGTTCTAACATATAAAGAGGAAAGGACAGAGCTGCTTTTCTAAATTTCATGTTGACTTAAAGCGACAGCTGCAGATGGTGGATACGCATGAGTTTCACGCACCGTTCTTAAAGACGAGCGAGTTGGCTGTGGAAGTGGTGATGGGAGTCGAGCTCTCGCTGCTCTCTGGGCTGGAATGAGTCGGCAGGCTGTGTACCCATGAAGCACTGGGAGATTTCTGGGAGGGCAAGAAGCTGATAGGCTGTGAGCAGTTCTGCAAGAGGAAATGACATCAAAAGTGAGTACAATAACAGAGAAACAGATTTAAACTGTTCAAATGAGCAAAATGAGGTCTTACTGTAAATGACAAAGCTTTTCGCTTGTCCTGAATTCTTCTTATAGCATTTCGCACCTACATTATCGTAAAACATTCAGACACAGTATTACGTTGTAATTTAGAAATGAAAATCACACGCCTTAATCGTACTAAATATAAGATAAGAAATGTAAGAAATACAGAGAAATATTGTAGAAGGCATACCTCACTGTTGTAAACCGCATACACCAGAAAAATATACAGGCCCTAGAACGAGAGGAGACTCATGTTAGTGATTCGAATGTTAACAACACTGAGCAAAAACATTTTTAAACTTTATAAAAGTCACTAGAAGATGTTTATATGTAGAGCTCATTTATAATGGTGTATTTGGGTCATTCTGCTGTACCTTTTGCAACCATGTCAAAGCAATAATACATTAATAAAAATAAGATGTAAATAATTGATTGTGTCAATCTCAGAAATTTATGGATCATATTTCATCTCCAAATCTACAAATTATTTGAAACAAAAATAATATTCTGCATAAGGAAAATGAAGCTTATTTCTGGGTCATAAATCATTCTCCAGGCACGAGGGATTAAATTAAAATACAATTTTTAATTCAGTTTAACAAAATACTAATTTAAACTACCATACAAATAATAATAATAATAATAGTACTTTTTTGCATTAATTAGATTTTTTTTTTTTGCATTACAGTAACGAGAATTCGGGGAGGTGGAAAAGTGTTGAATTCCAATAAAAATAATGTCACTATGCTGTTTTTAAATGCAAAATATAATGAAAATTCATAATGCTATATGCTAAATAATTTCGGGGTATAAAATGACAGGAGATAACAGGTTTTGTGAGTTTCAATCAATTACTGTGTTTTAAAATTAAGCAACAGAGAACAAAAGAATTAAAATCATAGTATAATAAACATTAAATTATATATTTGTTTCTGGGCCAAAATATAAAAAAATTCTTAAAATATTGTTTACTCATTATTTATTTATAAATATAATTCTTATATTTAAAATAAAATGTAGTACGATCTACATTTTGACGATCTGTCTGAAGATTCGGTGTCTGTGGTGTAATAAACTGTTATTATAAATATATTATTATTTATAATATATTATTATAAATAACCAGAAGAAACTTTTTTGTTTTATTCTCAGCTCTTGTTATCAGTTAGCGTTGAATACAGCTAACAGGAACGGTCCATGTTCTTCCTGCATCTTTGCACTTGCTGTTCTCAGAGACCTCTGCTACATAAAACATTCAAGACAGATCTGCACTGGCTAATTATATCAGAAGAGTTCCCTTCCAGTGATGGACTCTGCTCATGTGTCTCCTCCTCTCTGTCTTCTGCTTCTTTTATCTTTTTCCCAGACGCACACAGTAAATCTACATTAACAAGCTCTGGGAGGGAATTCAGCTCTCATTCATTATAGACATGGGAGGAAGAAAGAGACAGTCCGAGAGAGCTACATGAAGCTGAAAACAGAGAGAGGAAGTTAATTTCAAATGTGTTGACAGACTGGAGTCTGATTAGGAGGAAGGCAAAGGGTGCATGGAAAGTCAGAGCTGGCCGATTTTGACAAAAATTATAAACATAATTATTTTTGTCAATACTGAGATCACAGTTATTTAAAATGATTACACATAGACTTTGGAAACATCATGCATTTATTGAACTGCAAACTTATTTTTAACAGTATATTTCCTTGAACTTTAAAAATAATTCAACTGATAAAAAAGCTTCATATCCATAGGTTTAAATTAATAAATCTTTAATAACCAGGAGAAACTATATATACAGTATCTCACAGAAGTGAGTACACCCCTCACATTTTTGTAAATATTTTATTATATCTTTTCATGTGACAACACTGAAGAAATGGCACTTTGCTACAATGTAAAGTAGTGAGTGCACAGCTTGTATAACAGTGTAAATTTGCTGTCCTCTCAAAATAACTCAACACACAGCCCAATTTGGACATTTTCACTTAGGGGTGTACTCACTTTTGTGGCCAGCGGTTTAGACATTAATGGCTGTGTGTTGAGTTATTTTGAGGGGACAGCAAATTTACACTGTTATACAAGATGTACATTCACTACTTTACATTGTAGCATAGTGTAATTTCTTAATTTCTTTAGTGTTGTCACATGAAAAGATATAATAATATATATATATATATATATATATATATATATATATATATAACTGCTACAAAAAAACTGAAAATAAAAGCATTTTTAAAAAGATTTGAGGTTAACCATATGGGAGGTTTACCTAAAATCTAAGTTTTATTCTCAAAAGTTCATAGCAGTTAACATAGAATAAGCCATATATTACAGCTAATATACACACACACACACACACACACACACATTAAAACGAATAAAAAATTAATAAATAAATAATATCAAAATGAATAAATATTGTGGAAGCACACCATTCATTTGGATAATATTATAGTTTTTATTAATATTTTGAATCGGTTTTTATCTTTAAATTTTCTGTTTTCATTTTATAACAATATCTGTAATTTTTAGTCGTTTTTGTTTTATAAATATATATCTATATAGATTTAAATAATTATTTTTTTCAGTTTTAGTTTAATTATTTTACACTATAAAAAATGCTCAAATGTTCAAAACAACCCAACCGCTGGGTCAAAACAAACCAATAGCTGGGTTTGTCCCTTTTTAACCCAGCGCTGGGTTATATTTAACCCAGCATTTTTTAGAGTGTAGTACTTTAAATTTAAAATGAGAAATGTTGTCTTGGCAACTAGCTAAGTTTTATTTATTTTTTATTTTTTCAGTTAATATTTATTTTATTGCAAGTAACGAAAATATTTATAACAATGCACCACTGTAACGGAAAGGGTTTATAATACAAGACAAAACAACATTTCAAGTCCATGTAACAACATAAATTTGATTTCATAATCACTGTAAGCTAAAATCGTAATTGAAAATAAATGTGAATAATCGCCCAGCCGTAGTATAAGTGTCATGTGTTACCTGAAAAGCATTGAGTGTAATGAACAGATAGGCCACGACAACAGATAAATGCACCAGCACTCCACACAGCCAGGTCAGACCTAACACTGGTAACAGGATCAATACTGGCCTCGTCGCTGCCCTGGATGTGCACACAAACACAATATTAATCCTTCATATTACTGAATGCATTGGCTAGGCTGCTCAGTTTGACTTCAGTATGACTGAAACTCTTCTTCAAGGACACTCCGGGTCTCTGCCTAACTAGCTAATTATACAGACACTTCTGATTCATTTCTGCTCATTCATTGTAGGAAGTATCCATATAACAGAACAAACGAGTCTCTGTGGCTATTTGTATGGTATCTTCTCAAGTCCAGGTGGCTAGTAGGAATAAATGAGTTACTGGTGGGCGAGATCCCAATTCGTCAGTCACTGACGTAACGTTGAACGTGACTGACTGAATGGGAACTAGAAATGACTGAAACTGCTCTCTATCTCTTAACTCTGGCCTGTTTTTATTTCAAAGGAAGTTGAAAAGTGAAACAGCATTCACCAGGTAAGGTCCAGCGTGTGAAGTTTCGAATCAGAACTGGGCGTCAGCATTTTGGCTCTGCGACGTGCACTGGCCACTGTAACCATTACAACCCGAAAAAGCACCACAGCGTTGACCTAAGAACAGAGAACCACATCTCCCATTACAAAACAATAAAAATCTCCCTTTAATAGGTGAACTTATAATAGCTGTGGATTTTGTTTTATGCTGTGCCTTTAAGAGACGACTCTGTCATGTTCATAGCAGCAGGGATGATGTATTTTTGTAGGCCCAGAAATGAGTTAGCATTTTAGTTCCATAGCCCCAAAGTAAATGATTAAATGGTTTTTGGTTAAATGCCAGTCTGCGATGAACACATGCGCAACAAAAATGTATCTTTTATTTTATGATATAAATTTTATATTTTTTAAAGCGTTTTGCTTTTTTACAGCCTTGTAATAATCACATGGTTGTAAATGATTCTATCCCAAACCTTTAGGGAAAATGTTTTTAAATAAAGACTGAAAGAGTTGTTGAAAGCTTAATGATGAAGCCATGTGTAGCTCATTTATAGCACATGCTTAGCTGGCTACTGTATTTAGGCTTTAGAATCAATCACATTTGTGAAGATTATCATGATGTACAAAACATGCAGCAATCAGAAATTTTTTTTTGGTCACACAGCTTAATTTCTGCAACAATCCAAAAGCCAATGGAAAAATCCTATTGGGCAAACTTCTGCGTTTGGCCTACAAAAATATGTGTTCATAGTGACAGTAACACACATCAGAATGAGATCGTTCAATAAATAATCATTTTAGGCTCAAGAAAATCTGGAGTTTATAATTTACAGAAATGTACAATATGTATTTTATGCTTGCAGAAAATATGCTTCCTGATGATACGATCCCTTACATTTATTTAATGTGCTATCAACTTTAAATTTGAATTTCATTTTTCAAAATCTAACCATTAGCATTTAATATCCACATTGCATTCATGCATTTAGCTGACATTTTAATATAAAGTGTCCTTTGCAGTCCAGACTGCTTTAAAGCCGTGATGAAACAGAAGTAGAAAGTCTAATGTATCTGAGTGCAATGTATTATCAAAAAAAAGGGGGGCGGGACTTGATTCTATCCAACTGTTGTTGATTGGATGGAGGAAGACTGACTAAATGATTGGAGAGGTCCAGCATAGTCACCAGAGAAAAGTCTGTTGTTTCACCAGAAGATCCAGTTATGACATTTTGATTAAACATTACAAGGTTAAAAGGCTTTAAAACCATCAGAAGTGCATTGCATATACTCGTACACTCAAAAGCAAATAGGAACCCATTGTGACAATTATTCTGACACAAATACTCACACACTCACTTGAGGAACTGTGCACTTGTGACATACTTACGGCCAAAACAAAGAGCACAGGCCCTGCAAAAGCCCAAATAACGTGCGACTGAAGGTTCAGCCAGCAGTACTGCTGTGCTTTATACCGATCCAAAGTGGCTGCCAAGGTTACAGCGACTATAACAACCGGCAGCCCTAAGAAAGACAACGCAAATACAGACACAGTGCATGAGAGGAAGGTTAATCAAACAGAACATGAATCATAATGGTTTACACACACACACACACAGTTCTCACCCCAGCCCAGCACATAGTACAGCTTCATCCGCCTCTCCTCGCTGATGTTCACAGAGACCACTTTACTCCAGAGCAGCAAGCCCTCCACCAGCATCCAGCAGAAAGACGACAGGAAAAACAGATGCAGGAGCGCCGTCACCAGCCAACAGGCTTCCTGCTCCACAACAACACACACATAATCGATTCAAATGCTGACAAAAAACACGTCCATACCTGCCATCAGTAGTACATCAGAGATGTTTACTAGAATGCAAAAATAGCATTTAAATAAAAAAAATACAGTATATTATTTGATTGTTACATAGAAATATAAATAGGTACTGCATCTCAAAAGTTTGCGGTCGATAGGATTATTTAATGTTTTTCTTTAAACAAAATAGGTCGCTTATGCTCACCAAGGCTACATTTATTTGGTCAAAATACATAAAAACAGTGAAATATTATTACAGTTTAAAAAAAATGTTTCCTATTTTAATATATTTTAAAATGTAATTTATTTCTGTGATGCAAAGCTGAATTTTCAGCATCATTACTCCAGTCTTCAGAGTCACATGATCCTTCAGAAATCATTCTAATATACTGACTTACTGCTCAAGAAACATTTCTGATTATTATTAATGTTGAAAACAGTTGTGCTGCTTAATATTTTTTACAAAGTTCAAGAGAACCGCATTTATTTGAAACTCATTTTGTAACACTTTAATAAAATATAAATTATAAAAATTATAAAGTTATTTATTACAGTCACTTTTGAATGGTAGTGTATGTGATTTATGTGGTAATTTCACAGCTGTTTCTCTACTGTTTTTTTTATCAATACCATCTGATATTTATGAAAAGAAGTATAAAAACATCCAATATCAAAGTCCTAATGTCCTCTTTTCATATTTCACCAATCTAGTTCATAATTTTTTAATATATATATACAGTGGGTACGGAAAGTATTCAGACCCTCTTAAATTTTTCACTCTTTGTTATATTGCAGCCATTTGCTAAAATCATTTAAGTTAATTTTTTTTCCTCATTAATGTACACACAGCACCCCATATTGACAGAAAAACACAGAATTGTTGACGTTTTTGCAGATTTATTAAAAAAGAAAAACTGAAATATCACATGGTCCTAAGTATTCAGACCCTTTGCTCAGTATTTAGTAGAAGCACCCTTTTGATCTAATACAGCCATGAGTCTTTTTGGGAAAGACCCAACAAGTTTTTCACACCGTCTCCCTGACATGCTGCTTCAACACTAACTGCGGTTACTGAAACCACGCCTTCTTTCTTTGCGTGCACATTTGGGCGGCATTATGCTAATATTTCCACATAGTGAGGTAGATATGTGGGGGCGTGTTAGAACGAGCCGTTTTAGGGGGGCGTGGCAGAGTCTTAACTTTGATAAAGAATATCTCTTTGGTTTTGAGACTTTAGTCTTTGCAACTTCAGGGATCTTATCTATGCACAATCAGCTTGTAACACTCCAAAGAGAAAGGAAAACTTGAAATTGCATCATATGACCCCTTTAAGTAGGATTAGAATTTTGATGTACTACTGATTTTTAAAAAAGTGCTGTAAGTGTAGTTTTTTTTTCTTTTTAAAAATGAGTTACACATAAAAGATGACACACTCATTAAATATAACATAAATATGCCTTCTGTAGATTTAAAAAATATATAAACTGATTCAACTATATTTACTTAACTATATATTGCAACTATATACAAACACATTTTGGGCTCTTTTAATTTAACTGTTTCTTTCCTATAGTGATCAGACTCTGTTTCCTCATGTCATGATTATAACTGAAAATAATTTTTGGCAATTTAAATAAAGGTGAAATCAAATAAAATATCAATATTAGAGTAAGATATATATTAGATTTATATTTTATAAAAACCTAATCTTGAAAATTAGAGATGCTGCCTTGGCAACTAGAAATATGTTTAAGGTGATGTACAAAAATTACTAAAACTGAAGCTGAAATAAAAATAATAAGCTAATCCTAAAATATAAAAATAAAAGATAATCCAAAATATGAAAATATGAATGAACACATACAATATTAGTACAAATATAATACTAAAATAACACTGTTTGCGACAACATAAGCCTGTTTTTCATAAGCAAAGTAAATAATTATTGGTCAAACTCATGTACAGTATCCAGTCTTTATGCTATGATTTCTTTTTTTTTATCTGTTACAGGTACTGCTTATTAAAAACCTCCGTACCTGAACTTCGGAGATCTGTAACAGCAAGGCAAAGTTGGTAGTGTGGTTACAGGAACAGGAAGTTGAGTTATTCTTAGTGGAAATAGAGGTGCAACCCTTTGTTGACCACCCTCCCCCCTCTGGCCTGAGGCGTCAAGACAAAACAAGATTTCATCAGTTATACAAAACATAAACCAGAGCATTTGAGAATTTGCAGATTAAATAAATAAGTACATGAAAATTGCTTACATCAGGTCAAAATCCCAAAAAGAACAGATAGGTGTCAAATTCAGTGAACTGTTCTAGAGAGTGAAAAAGAGAAGCACTGTAGTTGAAGTCAGGCATGACTGTCCATCAACACAGTAAACTCAATTCTGATCAGTTCTCCTAAAATGACAGATCATTCTGCTGTTCAGAGGTTTGAGGTTTTATTCAGCAAGGATGCATTAAACTGATCAAAAGTGACAGCAAAGACACTTATAATGTTACAAAAGATTTCTAGCTCAAGAAAATAACAACAACAACAAAAAAATCCTGGGGAAAAAAATCAGAATTTTCACAAAGATATTAAGCCGCAAAAACGGTTTTCAAAATTGATAAACAGAAATTTTTCTTGAGCAGAAGATCAGCATATTAAAATGATTTCTGAAAGATCATGTGATTCTGAAGACTGGCATAATGATGCTAAAATTCAGCTTTGCATCACAGGAATATAAATTACACTTTAATTATTTTTTAAAAACAAAAAGCAGGTCTTTTAAATTGTAATAATATTTCACATTATTACTGTTTTACTATATTTTTGATCAAATAAATGCAGCCTTGGTCAGCATAAGATACTTCTTTTGCTCCCAAACATTTGAACAGTAGTGAAAATGTAAAAGTCAATCTACGTCTTCAGAAGACTTGGAATATAACATGCATATACTGACTACTGTTAAGGTACTTTTACGCTGCTTTTTGTCCTTTTGGCACTTGAATGCCTCTTGAGACTAAACTGTTTTCAAAAGAGCAGCTTTGACATTCAGCAAAATCACCTGTTCCGTGGAAACATGAAGTCGTATAAGTTTGTAAGGAACTCGTATGTGGTTAAATGATTCCTATAACTCTGAAAGATGCTAAATTTGGTTTTTAATGGTTTCACTGGCATCCCAGACATTTCGGATTATGTCTACACTGACTTTAGCCAAAGCTAATTTCAGAAATGATTCCATAGTTTTAGAAAATATGCTATCACAATGAAAATTATATATTCTATTTCTTATACCTGAATTTTGTGCTGGAGTGTGAAGTTTATGGCCATGCTGATCGGCTGTCCATCTGCCAGCACTGTACTGGAGATGACCGATGAGCCCAAGACTGTTCGCACATGCCTGATTCACACAGTCACACCATCAGCAATATGACAACACATTCATCTTAAAATTACACTGAAAAATTTAATAACAAGAAATAAGCAAATTCTGTATAAAGGGATATTCCTGCAGTAAGTATCGCATACATTTAAAAATCAATGTTCATTATTGGCATCTATGGTTCCATGAAGAACCTTTAACATCAATGGAATCTTTTCATTCCACAAAAGGTTCTTTAGAATAGAAAACAATGGTTTTGAAAGGTTCTTTGGGAAAACAAAAAATGGCTGCTCTTTGGCATGGCTGTGAAAAGCCATTATGGAACCTTTATTTTTAAGAGTGTGTTCATGTAGCGCAGACACAGATGATCTGATTGAATTCAATGAATCTGCATACTGCATTCATATCTTACCTATGAGATCCATCACTGACTATAGGAGAAAGGGTAATGTTCTCCTCTCTCTCTGAGAGACATTTCACAGAGCTGTACCATGTATTCAGTAAAGTCACCTTTTTGAAGCCTAAACAAGCACAACATATAAAAAACAAGGGAAGGAAAAAAACACATCCTGGTTTCACTATGACAGTCGGAAACGTTATACACAGTGAAACGTTATCTCCTGGTTTTAAATATCCATACCATTGTTCTGTAGTTCCTTCATGTTTTCAGCTGGGACAGAGATGCAGTCACGATTTCCCGCATCCAGTCCACAAAACACAGAAACGTGAGAACCTTCAGACAGCAGCTTCTGCTGGACCTGCAGCTCTGCAACACAGGACCACAGTTTTGTAAATTTGAGTGCATGTCAGTATTGTTCCTCTGTATGTCTGTGTAACTTACTGATATTGTCGCTGTGTATCTGCACACTGTCTGTGTCGTCTGTCAGCAGAGAGTTAAGGTTGCTCACCATGCGCTCTACAGTCTGCATGACTGCCATTGGGCCCTTCACTACCTACAAAGCACAGATTTGTAAAGAAATTAAAGGTTTCATTTGAAACTATTTTTGATGGCAAACCCAATAAATAGATACATTAAAAACAAATCTGAAATAACCAATCACACTGCATGTAAAATGCAAGCTAATATTAACATCATAATTGAACTTATTTAACGGTTGTATAAACAAAATTTCACACGCCAGTTGTGCTGTAGTGATGATATTCGGTGGAACTGCTCTTGTGATATTACTTATTTATAAAACTCATTTTTGAATGTTCATTAATTACAGAATTATCAAGTATCATATAATGACTAAGATTGTTAAAACGTTTTTTTTAAAGAAGTATCTTATGCTCACCAAAGGCTGCATTTATTTGATCAAAATACAGCAAGAACAGTAAAACTGTGAAATATAATTACAATTTTTTTTAAAAACTGTTCTAAATTTTAAAATGCAATTTATTCCTGTGATCAAAGCTGTATTTTCAGCATCGTTACTCCAGTCTTGAGTGTCACATGATCTTTCAGAAATCATTCTAATATACTGATTTGCTGCTCAAGAAACATTTCTTAATATTATTAGTGTTGAAAACAAGTGTGCTGCTTAATATTGTTTGTGAAAACCATGACATATTTTTCAGGATTCTTTGATTAAAAGAAAGCCCAAAAGAACGACATTTATTTAAAATAGAAACATTTTGTAACATTATGAATGTCTTTACTCTCACTTTTGAACAATTCAATGCATCCTTTCTGATTAAAAGTGTAAAAAAAAACTTACTGATCACAAACTTTTAAGCAGTAGTTATTACAGAATTATAAAATCAATCAATAAATGAATAAATAAAAACAAATGGAATGTGGCAAAAACTACTAAATAATTAAAAATGAATTGTTTAGAAAACTGGATAACAATTCAAATCTATGGATCAAAATATATATGGATAATAATATAAAAATAATCTCTAATTCATAAAAGACATTTGCAAAAATGTTGTCAAGAAGTGTGGCAGACTATCATCAAATATCCCGTTTAATAATTAGTAATTAATCAACACAAAACAGTTAAGCAATCACTTCGTTCACCTCTTTGATGCTGTTCCATTTACTGACATTGTCTTGGCTGATGAGTGAATCTGCAATGGTGATGAAGCTCTGGCCGAGCCTCTCCGCATCACGCCGGCTATGGTTGGCAGTGCAGGGCAGGTCAGCGGCCCGAGAGAGAACATGCATCAGAGAGAGCATGTCCCTGTCCTCCAGCTGCTTCTGCTCCTTCAAAACAACCTGCTCAGACACGTTCAACAGACGGGACACCGAGGTCCAGCTCTGCCCATCTACAGCATCAGAGAGCACATCGTCTGCAGTCTGAGAGACATGGGACAAAACACAAGTTAGATGGTAACACAGATCGGTTTCTATTTACAATGACAGTGTGCTAATACTGTGTGCAAAATATTCATGCTGAGAAAGCACTTTTTAGAAATCGACTGTACCACGCCATACTGCATGAGACTTTGCATGAAGGAGCTTGGGTTGGACGTCAGAGATTCTTTCAGGTTCTTCATCTTCAGATAATGGTCTGTGGATCAGAGAGCTGCACGGTCACTCTGTACACACTCACAGAATACATTCACACTTTATTTAACTCCCACACAGTCAAAGCCAAATTTATTCAGACACCTTCAACATTTCTCACATTATCACAGTTTATTCGCTACAGTTTAGAAAATGGGAATACAATATGACAAGAACTCAGAGTTCAACTGTGTCAGAACAAATTCATCTTGATAATGTCAGAGAACTTTGATAGAAAGGTATGTAATATATTCGGTTGAATAGCTGTCAGCTGTTAAATGTAAGTACACAATTTGATAATACCACTTTAGCTCAACCAATTACCAAACAAAGCTTAATTTTGTTCAGTCTGTGGTGTAAAAAGTTTGCATTAGCAATTAAAGAAAAAACACTTAAGCTAAACATGGTCAGGTCAAAGTGTCTGCATAATTTTTGGTCTCAGATTTTTATAAATTTTTCTGATAGTCCACTGTATGAAGACTTTTTGGGTATAATATGTCACAGTTTACTTTATTTTGCTATCCTCACTTGCATAAATGAACTATAGCATCCTGCACCCACAAGTAAAAAAAATATCAAAAATGATATCTGGTGTCTGAATAATTTTTGGTTTGACTGTGCATGCTCTCTCTCACACACACCTTTGCTGACTCTGCAGATGAAGGGGAGCGTGTGTGTGCAGGGGGCAGTGCTGTACTGAGGCTGACGGTCAGGCCAGCCATTAAAAACCTCACATTCCTCTTCCTGTTTCTCTGTTGACTTCAGGGACCCTGCAAAAACAGCCATTTCCACCACTAGTTAACTGGAAATTAAAATGAATTCATTTTTTTTTATATTTCAGCTGAAACAACAACAAAACACTTATAATAACACTAAATATATCATATTAAATGTAATTAAGAGTAGACATTTTAAAGCTGCTAACAACACTTAGAAACACATTAAATAGCACATTTTTAATTTTAGCCACAATATTTAACAAAAATAAATTTGTTTTAAATATTGAAATAAATTCTGAAGTAATCATATCAGAAGATCCAAGCAGGATCTGTAAACAAATAATAATAATAATAATAATAATAATAATAACAATCATTATCATAATTATTATTATTATTATAAACATACACTTTATTTATTTTTAATATTGCATATATAATAAAAATAGTAAATATTGAAAAACTGAAGTATATGTTCTTAAGTGTAGCTTTAAATGTATTCTTTGAATTACATTTATCTATTTAATAAGATAATTTTAATTTGGTTAAATATCAGATCCAATAGATCCAATCTGTAAGCTAATAATAATACAATTATATACAATTATTATTATTAACATATACTTTTTTTAAATATTACATATATAACGAAAAAATAAATAGTTATAAAACCGAAATTTATAATAATAATAATAATAATAATACAAGCTACAATTTAGAACACTTAGAATTCAATTAAATAGCAAATATGATAGTAATATTACCTTTAATAGAAGTATGTTTTAAATATTAAATTCAATCTAAAAATTCTATATCATCTCTCTCTCTCTGTCTGTCTGTATATTGAATATTAGACTAAAGACTGTGTTATAACCATTTATTATTATTTGTTTACAGATCCTGCTTTGATCCTCTGATGTTTAACAAAAAGAAGTACAGGTATATGTTTTAAATATTAAATGTAACAATTATAAATATGATAAAAATATTAAATATAATATATATATATAAATATACAAAAATGGTCACTTAGGGCAAGTTATTTATTTTTCATTGGCTCAAGTTAAAAAAAATAGATGTGAATCATTACCCTACATTTTTTTAATTGGATGAATGAAACATTTTTTTCAGTGTAAAAAGCAACAACAACAATAATAATTGTTTGTAGGATCTTCTGATATTCTGACAGATGGCCGGGTAAATGAAGCTAACCTGGACAGGTGAGTGTAGCAGACACGTTCTGCACAGACTGATGGACAGCGAGGCTCCAGTCCTGCCATCTGAACACGGCTCTGTGATTGGTCAGCTGCGAGCAGGTGTGCAGCGCCGTCACCTGTTCGAACTCCAGAGCTTCACCCCAGACGCTCAGATCGGTCAAGTTCCCAAAAAACGGCTCCGTGAAGTTCCCACCAAAAGTATCCTGGTCTTGGCCCAATATAAATATCCCGTCTCCGTGGATATCCTTTGCATTTCCCCGAGCTTTCCCTTTCTCTGAATCTCCCGTTTCCCCGTCCACGTAAATGGCCCAAAACCCATCGCTCGCGCGCCACGTGACGCAGACATGGTGCCACTCTCCATCAACGGGCAGCTCGGCTTTGTGCCGATGATGCTGTCCTTGAATGAGAAGCGCTAGGCGGACTTTTCTGTCGTCTGTCTTTCCGCGCAGCTGGAATTCATTGACGAAAGCGCGCGCCGCGTACGAGAACACCGTGGACACGTCATTTCGCCGCGGGTCCCACTGCACGCGCAAGCAAACGCTCACCGCGGACAGCGGCGGGAAAGACGCGTTCACACGCGCATAGCCGTCCTTAGACGTGAAAGACAATCCTCTGAGGATCGTTTCTGTGGAGATACAGAGATATTGACTTCATTTCTCAGAGATATGTGACCCTGCACCACAAAACCAGTCATAAGGGTACATTTTTTTGAAATTGAGATTTATGCATCATCTGAAAGCTGAATGAATATGCTTTCCAATGATGTATGGTTTGTTAGGACAGGACAATATTAAGGCTGAGATACAACTATTTGAAAATCTGGAATCTGAGGTGCATGCAAAAAAACTAAATATTGAGAAAATCGCCTTTAAAGTTGTCCAAATGAAGTTCTTAGCAATGCATGATATTACTAATCAAAAATGACGTTTTGATATAGGGGCCTATTTACGGTACACTGTAAAAAAAATCCGTAAAATTTACGGTAAAAAAACGGCAGCTGTGGTTGCCGGAATTTTAGCGTAAAAAATACGGTAGCAACATTTTAGGTTTTACGGTTTTAACTTAAATTTACAGTAAAATACCGTCATTTCATTAACTGATATAATGTTAATATTCCAACCTATTGAACATGATCTTTACTTAATATCCTAATGATTTTTGGCATAAATGAAAAATTTATAATTTTGACCCATAAAATGTATTGTTGGCTATTGCTACAAATATACCCGTGCTAGTTATTATGACTGGTTTTGTGGTCCAGGGTCACATATTGACATTATAACCAGCATCATAACCAGACTTACTTTGTTTGGGAAGGGCCAGATGAGTTGGTGGGTTCTGTTTTTTGTTGGTTTCAAACCAAACTGGGCCCTGCATGCTAAATTTAGAGAGTAACTTCCGGGCCCCCTCCTCGTCCTCTTTGACCCCTGAGGTTGTGAGGCCGCTGGACTGACCACGGCAGTAACGCAGAGCTTGTTCGAAAGTGAACGATGTGTTCACAAGATGGTACACTGCATCCTTCTGGATCAGAAGGTTCGAGTCTGGCACATCTGCAACAGGTTGAGATCTTGTGAATCAGGATTTTATGGCTCATATATGATATATAGAGAGAAATATAGCGCTCATCAGTTTTATTCAGAGGCACAAACGGAGCAAAATTATGCAGTTTGGTGCAGATGTTGTTATTAATGGCCAAACGTTACATAAAATAGCATGTAAATGTCAGTTGTCACACTACATCTCCCAATCAGTCCTAAGATATGACGTTTAAATGATTTGTTTTCTGATCAAAGCTTTAATACAACACAATGAAATTAATCTTCCTTAACAGCCTAATGGATCGTATTTAATAAACATGATTTTAAAAATGATCGATATGGTATATAATCAAGTAAACCTAAGCTGATTCAGTACAGTAACTGATCATCGTAATATATTAACAATATATAGTTATTCTTACATTTACTTGATAAAAATCAGTAAAGATTTCACAGCAAAAAGTCACATTAACCACGACCTGAAGGTGGAAATTTTTACAACGACAAAGGCTTATACTTTTATCAAATAAAAGCCTTTGTCGTTGTAAAAATGTCCACTGATATTAATCAGATGACAGAATTCATGTACTTCATGTATTTATAGGATTCATTATTGTGTATAAGTGGCACAAATACAATGTTAACTCACCCAAAAGTCCTCTTTCTGCCCTGTCTGACCATGATTGAGTTGGCTCACACATACCTTTAAACTTCATTGTTAAACACATAAAGAAAAAAGACACCAAAATAAGATCATACTTGAAGAATTTCACAAATGAGGTAAACAAATCTGATTCCAACATTACCACTGCGTTAGCCAAAATCACTCCAAAGAGCACCGGGGACATCTTCACATCTGGACAAAAATTAAATAAATAAATAAAAATGCTTTAAATAACAACATGAAGAATGCAAACCAAAAACGATATCTCAACTATCAGGAAAACAGCCATATGCTAAGTCACTATCACTTGTGTTCCTCAAATGTAAGTTTCTTGTTCTTTTGTAAAATATGAATGTATATCTGAAAGCGTGAGATACAGCCGTATGAAACACGAAACCAGATATAACTGAAGAGGGAGTCAAAAGTATGAGACCGCAATCAAATAATGGATTTTTTAAACATGTATTTAAAATGATTAATAAACAAAATAAACAACGTTTTAAGATTTTAAAAAAATTCTTTCATATTAAATTTACACCATAAGTTATTGTCATTTTCACTGTATAAGACTTCAAAAATGCCACAATTAAAAAAAAATTTCCACTGCTTTATGCTATATCTAATGGGTCAGTTCATATACAGTACAATAATGTTAAATGTACAGTTTGTGGAAGTGAAATTTCTGATGTGATGCTTCACAATTAATGGTATTTCGTTTAATTGTGATTTATTAAATAGTTTTTGTTCTTAGTTATGTATAGGCTATTAAGGTTTACGTTACATCTTATGTTGTTTAATTTATGTTTATTGCATTTTTTTAGTGTCGTGTGTTTCCCATGATGGTGTGAATGACCTTCTAGAAATGACTATTTACCTAGTTTGTGGAAAGGCTACTTGTAGTGAAATTTGATTAATTATAATAGAAGTTAGAACACATTAGATATTAGAAAAGAATGCAAAAAAGGGTTTCAGTAGTGGTATCAGACTTTGTATTGAATAGAAGAGATTTGACTTACAGATGTATTTGTAGCGCTGCCTTGTGCTGCTTGGCATGTGATGATCTTCCATAGTTCGAGTCCTAGCATCCATACACTTGTTTGGACTGTGCTGTGGAATTGCATCTGTATATCTATCTCATATTATCTATGTGCACTTACACTGTCTTCATCCTTCAGCTTGTAAGTGTAATATCCATTCCAAAGTCCATCTCATCCAGACCGTCCTCCTCCTCCTTGATCCCGGTGTGTGTGTGTATCTGGCTCTGGGAAGGAGGTGAGCGCTGCAGACCCCCTCGTAGATGTCCAGCCCACCAGCTCAGCCGTCATTTTAGCACTGCGCTTTGTAATGCTAATGGATGTCTTTTATTAAAGTAGACTTCTTGCGCAAGCAGTGTGAAAGTTGGCACACAGAGTTCATCAAGAGCTGCGGGACGCCTACCAATGCAGAATGCTATTTATTTATGTCCATTAGTGGACAATCTTCACACACACACACACACACACACACACTGTAAACTATTACAACACTTGTTCAGATGGTGAGATGATCTCACACTGTAAGCTGCATGCATAAACTGGCACTAGTGAAAGTCATTGCACCATGATGTTTGTTCAGCCTTTTTTTTGTACTTGTTGCATTGAAAGCCTCTCTATAAAGCCGGTTTGTTTTGTGTAGGCTAAAGCTTTACTGTCCTGCAGCCAGGACAACAAAAGTAGTGACATCACTAATGCACAGTGTACACCAGCGGGCCAAAGAAAACCTGCTATTAGTATGCACTGTAGGCAGGAGCTTACGCAAGACTATTGAGTGCAGCATCAACACCAGCAAGAGCTCTGCGATCACAACTAACGAGCGATCTAATGAATGGTCTCATAATGCATTTCAAACAAGATCAAGGCAAAAATCAAGATCAATGCCTTTAAAATTCAAAATGTGTGGGGCAAAATAACCTTGTTTTTCTTGTAACATCTGAGATATTTCTAAAAATTGGATTCCAAACCAATACTGAAAAAAATGTGGTGTAGAAACAATTTTTGCTCAGAAATTGCAGGTAAATTCAAATAATTACATAGAAACGGCAAGTAATATTTTTGAAGTAGAAAGAGTGAAATAATATTCTCTCATAAAATGTAATCCATTAATTGTTCTACAGTGAAAATGTAGTATTCTGTAAAAAAAAAAAAGTGTCCTTAAAATGATATTAACATAAATAAAATAAAATATTGCCCCTTCATGTAAAAGTTAATTTCTGGTACTGATTTACAAATCTGTATATTTACAAAATATATGCCCTCCTAAATGTGAAAAAAAGAAAAATCAAATATTACAATTTTTTTTAAATATATAATCTAAAGAGCCAGTATCGGGCGATTATAGCACAATTTCTAGCATACTTGTATGCAAAATATGTCCTCCTTAATGTGAAGGGGGGAACCCCCCCCCCAAGAAAATCAAATATTGGAAAAAAACAATACTGGAAATATATAATGTAAAATGTTTATTTCTATGTTATACCACAATCTGTGTATTTCTAATTACAAAAATAGCATGCTCTCCTAAATGCGAAAGAATACCTCTCAAAATTATATATAGTGAAAAATGAAATGTATGAAATCTTCATTGTTATAGAGTGTGATAAGAAAGTTTATTACTTTTTATTGTATTTATTAATCTATATATATTTTACTTTTTAACTTTTGAGTCTCCTTTTCAAAATTATTAGTAATTCAGTGTAATCATTTATTTTCATTTGAAGTTGTTTCCCGTAAAACAGCTTCAGGGTCTCTTGGGACAGGCATTGAGAAAGCCTGCAGAATTCCCCTCTCCCCACATAATGCCTGATTCCCCTGGGCCTCAACAAAAGCCCCCAGACCGCAGCGACCACACACTTGTCCCCTGAATGTGGGCCCCGTGCCTCAGCCGTCCTCGCCATATTGGCTCCCACACAGCAGTTTGACTTATTTGCCAAACAGGGGACTGGGGCACCAGAGAGAAAACAGGAGGACTAGTTACTAATGCAGTCAGGGTCATCTATGCTATTTACTAGAGAAAACTCAGCTGAGTTTTGTTGTCGTTATTGTTCCACCATTCGGTTGACCTTTACGAGGACCCTCCTGTAAACACCTACAGATGGCAGCCATACTGGATAGAGTAACTTAAGTTACAGCAATGAATCCTGGGTCATAAAACGCAGCACTGCTTTGGGCTTAAATGAGTATTACTGCCTTAGAAGAAGGAGGAGGAGTTCAGGCATTTTCCAAAGGAAACCCAGAGCGACAGACAACCGCAGTGTGAATAAAAGTGGAGAAGTACCTTTTAAACAGTCGCTTTGTCATGGCAGATGCTCAATCACTCGCTAAAGAGCTGATTAGTGCTTTTCCAAAATGACTCAGACCAAGCCCATGCTAGCTAAAGGGGTTCAAATGAGGGATTGGGAAGGTTAAATGAAGGGAGAAATGGTCTAATTTCCTGTTCATCTAAAAAAAAAAAAAAGATTTATTAGCTTAGTTACAGAACAAGGCACAAAAAAGCAGCTCTGAGTAAAAAAATTATTCCACTTGCAATAAGAGTTGCCTATTTTCATTTACATGCACAGTAGACAAACCCTTGATATTTTAGCCAACAAACCCTTGATATGTCCTAAGCTGTACATATTTAACATCAAGAGGACTGAGCAGAACATAAAACATCAGAATAACATATCACATCTCATCTTCATGTAAGTCTGTGTATTTTATAAATCTGTATATTTGTATATAATTAAAAAATATATATTTGCCCTCCTAAATGTGTTAAAAAAACACACCAGAACATCAAATACTGAAAAAAAAATCTGTTTACTAATTTTTGTGTATAGTTTTATGTAAATTAGAAAAAGCCCTCCTAAATGTGAAGAGAAAAAAAATAGAAAATCAAATATTCATTTCTGGCAAGTTAACTGTGTATTTGTTAGAATTAGAAAAAAATGCTCTCTTGAATGTGAAAGAATACTGGAAAGACAAACACAGGAAAAATATTTAATTAAAAATGAAAATGTAGTTTATTGCTTTTCTGTTTTATTAGCTTTTCTAAAATGACTCAGGCCAAATACATACTAGCTAATGGGGTTCAAATGAAGAATTGGGAAGTTTAAACACTGGGAAAGCAGATTTATTAACTTTATAAACAACACATGTAGCAACAAATCTTTAAAAAAAGAGAGGAAAAAAACGAAAGTTAAACATCTCTGAGCATTGTGTTAACTTGCACTGAGAGTGATTTATATTTGCATTTCCGTACATATTTGCAGTTAGCAGACAAACCCTTGATATATGCCTTACATCAAGAGGTTTGAGTGGGACCTAAAACAACAGAACAACAAATCACGTCTCATCTTCCAGTAAGTCCCTCCCTCTTTTTCGGTTCGGCTCCATCTACATGTCGAATGCAGCCAGCTGCTCCTTTTAATCAGCCTTGACCCATCATGCATCCAGAGCGAACAAAAGCATACAGGCATTTATCTTCTTTCCCTCAACATTAAACTTAAATTCACTGACAAGCCCCTTTCTCTTCCCTTCACATCCACTGTAGCCCACCACCGCCATCACTTGTTGCACATTTCCATGGCAACATTAGCTTTCTATCAATGGCATGACAACGTCAAATAGTATCCCGGCCTAGAACAGGAGAGACAAAGAAACCATGACCTACATGTTGAGAGAGGAAGCAGATCTTCCCAGAAGAACCCACTGGAATCCACGGGATTGAGTTTTGTACACGTTTTTTGGTTTCACACACCTGCCATGTGATCTGTGATGAATGAAACAAGCTTTTAAGCTTATGGAAAGACAGACATGCAACATGAGAGTCACCTGATCTGAATAGAAGCTTGTGGAAACATTTCCTTCTTTGTCTTTCTAATTGTTAAATGCATTCTTAACCCGTTTAGTTGGACTTCTCAGCTGTGGAAAGGATTGATGAAACCTGGAAGCTAATAAATGAAAGGGGACTAAACCTTAGATGTGTCAGTGGGTAAACTGTGTGTCATATTCTAGCAAACCCTGCATAATTTGGGTTGCATGACCCAATTACAAAGGGTCCATCATTATTTATTTATTTATTTTTTGTAAAATTTTATGGAGCAGCAAGATGATTTTTCTAGGTGGGCCGTATAGGTACAACTTACAAACAATAATGCCACAGTTTAATAAATCAAATGTATATGTACAAATGTATATATTTTTAATCTTATTTTTAATCTTTTATTTTTTATTTGGTGCAACTTAAAATATTATACAAAAAATACTAATCTATCTATCTATCTATCTATCTATCTATCTATCTATCTATC